ATTTTGCGAACCGATAACGTGATACTGATATTTTGAATATTGACCATTATCGGATCGCATTTCATTATTTGACATCTTAGATAATATCACTGTCTCTTTCTCTCTCTCAATAGCGCGGACAATACCATTTGATTTCCAATAATAATCTTGCGACGCTTGCAAACGGAATAGGGAATGAGAATTTTCCCAGTTATGGAAAAATTCTCATTTCCTGTCGGTCTATTTCTAGAACTGCTTCCTGATCGTGACCTTTTGTATCCGATTACGATTGAATTAGTACACGCGCGTGTCGATGTTTCATTCACGAACTGTTCCGATATGCGGATCGCAAAGTATGATGTTTTTGTCATCGCACTGCGAAAATGCAAACGACAGCCAATCGGTTTTCGATGAAATACAATTCGTTAACTTGATACGAATTACGCTGGCACACCTGAAGAGAAATCACGCTGACGCTTGCATGCGCATCTTCACGAGCGTTGGACCGTTACTCATATCGATTGCACACGCCTACTATCTGTTATTAAATGGATCGAGATGGTACGTCAAAACAAATTGATTCATTTGTCGTTAATAATCCAACAGAAAAGGAAAAAAGTAATATGTCACAACCAATATCGACGTTTTAAATTTTTTTTCTATGAAAAAAATATAAATGTATATATGGAAATATATTACCTAAATGTAAATCATATTTATGACCGAACAACGAACAATTAAAAATTGATTAAACTTTATTATTAAATCTCAAACAAATGCTTTAAGCGTTTTATATTAATATAGATTTAATGAAATTTAAAATTTAGAAAATTTTGTGTAAATTGTAAAAATAAAAAAATATCACGTTTTCTTCTTCTTTATCATAAATTCGTATAGTATAAAAATTATTCATTTTTCTCATTACGTCATCTTCAGATAATATACTGGAAATATATTTTTAAATACCAAAGAGAGGATATTTCGAATAATTATGCCTATAATTAATCATCTGTGGAATCTAACAATAAAATTACAAATTCAAAAACCTCTTTTAGCCGTTGTAATTGTTTAACTGAGAAGCACGTACCTTTTCAGCTGCCACATACGAGTGCTTGGAATACAAATGTTGCCTGGAACCACTTATAAAGAGTACTAATATCCAACGAGGTCAAAAGCTTCAGCATTCATATCCTCTTTCTCTGGATTAGGTAGTTATTCCTTCATAAATAAACTACAGCTACTACATAACGCGAATGCAGCTTGCAAATACATATAGTGCTTAATGGAATTCTTTATGTTTCTTTCTTTACATAAATTCTTGTAATAAATGTTTCGCGTACGCTTTCGATATTATAATTTTCTTTGAGGGAGAATACGTATATTTTTCAACATATATTGTTAATATAAAGATATTTAAATTTTAATATCAAGAAATAGAACACATAACATTAATAAATTTATTTTCTTATTTATAAATGAGATTATAAAATGAGAGTTGGTTTATATAATGTTTATAAAGGTTTATGAAAGGTTTTTGTTATGATTATGATTGTGAGTTTCTCTAGTACATTACAATGCTTTAATTTATATAATTTTATTTTAAGCACTACTAAAAACAGAATTTTCAAAGAAATAATATCAAAATTCAGACATTCGGCAGAAAAATCAACTAGTTTCAACGACGAACTTTATGTACAAAATTCAAACCTTATTCAAATGTGTTCAGTTCCCATGCATGGGTTAACTGCTGAAGTTCACATAGTTTTGAAAAAGAAATGAAATATAAAGCAATTTCTGAATATATTTTTTGAGTTCTATACGTATGCCAATTTATGCAACTCAAAGTACATAAAAAGTATAAAATAACTTTTAATATTCCCAGAGATACTTTGAACTTTAGGACCTTCATATTTTTATTATATTATTTTTGTTGACATAGCGGATGTGGTAGCATTGCTCTGCAGCTGAATTTTTTATTAAATATTTCATCTAAAACAAGTTTTTTCTAAAGACAAATAGAATTACCAGTTAAAAAACGTATATATGCTTGCTCTATGTCATATTCCATGTGTGTATGTATGTATGTATAAGATAAATCTGAATCGTTGAACCAGCTTTTATCCTATGAGAAAATAATTGACTGCACACGTTATAATTAAATAAGTCGATAATTTTCTCATAAGGTAAAAAGTTGGTTCAATGACTCTGATTCACCTTGTATATATGAATTACAATAAAAATTATAAACTTTATCACAATATGCAAAAAGTTCTCTAAAATCAAACAAAATTTTGTTTCCACAAAATTCATTTAAAAATATTAATATTGAACTATTTTATTCTATAATTATAAAACGTATATGAGCATTATAAAAACAACACCAAAGATAATATCTTAATAAACGGATACCTTCGCGGAATTTCCGACATGGTCATTATATGGCTACTATGAATATCGACAGTAATTAGCGACCAATCTAACATTAATATCGGTGAAATGACCGTCGTCGGTGTGCGCAAACACATCGTAACGTTTCATTCGCAAAACATACTCTGCCAGAACTGATCCTTGTGCAAAACAACCTGGATAAAGGGCCAGATCGTACAAGCTCGCCTATTCCAGTCCTCCGCATACTACAAATTAATCTGTGATCTATGTCTTAGCTCCAAATCAAATACAAACTCGCAAGCTTATCTAGTTCCGTCACTAACAATCGATAACTAAGTAGACGCTCGCGGCATCTATGCGTCGAAATCTATTATTTGCTTCGATAACGTCAACACTAACGTTCAATATAATGGACATCCGACGCATTGTTTGATATGCATTTCTCGTGATTCTGACAATAAGATAAACTCGTGAAATCGTTTCAATAATAACAAAGACAAGTTTCATGGAATGCAAGATTATG